AAGGGGTGGAGTTGAGGCGGGGCCGGGGGTGGGGTAGAAAAAAATGGGGGTCGGGGGGGCGGCCAAAATTGTTTTCGCTTGGGGCGGCAAAAATCCTAGAGCCGGCCCTGGCAAAGAGAGAGGGGATTTGCTAGTGTGATACACGAGGGGATGCTCAAAGCAATGAGATGAAAACAAGAAGGAAATAATTTAGGCTGAAGATCAGGATAAACAGGCTCCCCAGGGTAGTGTTGGAATTCCTACTGCCAGGTATACTTAAAACTAAACTGGACAAAACGCTAGTAAAAGTACAACATGAAAAGCAAGACCAGACAACCGGATAAGCCTTTTCCAGCTCTAGATTTGAGGAGTCCGTGATTCTGTTTTAGTGTGAGATGTAGGACTGAAGGTTCTCTTCCCAATGTGAACTTGTAGTTTGCAGGCACACATCAGTGGATATATTACAAGAGGGAGGGGGCGAGAGAGATCTCCAAACCCACTGGGTATATTTCAGCTATGACCATTATCTGCTGAGTGCAGCGAGAGAGGGGACAGAAGGGCCAGGTGCAGCTCCCTGATTCTGGTGCCATTTCAACACCAGCCCTGCCATACGTCAGAGTAGTCTGGAGGCTGCTGTAAAGTACAGCAGCTGCTCTATGGCCTCCAGGGGCTACTACGCCAGCTAAGACAATTTGGAGCTCAGTGATGTTCTGGCCAAACCGCTAACAAAGTCTCTAGGCCAGAGGCATGGGGAGTGGGTGAGGCCAGAGCTGACTGTGCAGGCTCTGCATTCGCTGGGACACCTCTCCCCCAGGGGAATTCTCAACTGGGGAGATCCTGCAGACTGCCAGCCCCTTTGTGCTGTCAGGGCAGCTCTACCAGGCTGGATCACAAGAGAGGATCTGGCCTGCTGACGTCAGATGCTTGAATAGGTTTGGACAAATGAGCTGAATCTTCACCCCAAACTCAGGACCAGCTCATATTTTAGCTCCTTCTCATTTCTGAACGTTGTGGCACCTCTTGATTTCTGCTGGCACCAAAGCCTGAAGTGCCAAGATGTCACAATTTCATCCACCTGCAAGAAGAAGAAACAAAAATCTGTCCTAACAGGGATTTCCAGTCAGATGTTGGACACCCAAGATGTTTGGCTCAGGGGCCAGCTTTCGAAGGTTGCCCATCACTACTGCTGATCAAACAACTTTTCTTCCTGAGCTCACAGATAAGAGACCAAATGAACACACTGATTCCACATATCCCTGTCCAAGAAGGGAGCTCTATGAAGAAGGATAATGGCAGTGATGATGTGCTTTCATGTGCATCATCATGTTTGTTCTTTAGAAAGGAAAATCTCTTTCGGGAATACTAATACGTGAAAAAGCAGTGCCCGGCAGTTTGTGTAATGGACATTTTCCTTGTAATCTTCCATTAGATATTATATTTTCACCCTGTCCTAGCTGTGTACTTCATGCCAACATTTTTAATAATATTGTTATACTGTGTTGCAGAAGGATCCTATTCAGTTGTTTTCAAGGGAACATTAGCACAATAGCCTAAAGACAGAAAATAAGCATACTATAATGAGCAATGTATTCCACACAATGAGCTTGTTGGCTGGTGGCACAATAGCATCAGGATCTGCTGCGGCTGCCACACAAGAGTCTTGCGCCTGGGAGCAATCTGAGGGTTGTTGTTCACCAGGATTTGAAAATCAGGTGTAACATCACAGTGCACATTTGCACCAACATTTCAAAAGTCTCGGCCGATTTTTGGAGTTCAGCTTGAGAAACTGTGGCCCAGATTTTCAGACGTGCCAAACGCCACTCCAAAAATGGAGGTATCTAATATTAGTTGACATTTTTGAAAATGTTGTCCTTGGTCTTTGGACCTGGGAAATGGGTGCTTTCCTCATTAGAGATAGGTCTGAGACAAAAAGATCCAAACTTTGCCACAGTCCGGGTTTGTCTGAATCCTTGTTCTTGATTTCCCTACTATATCATTAGGATCCAGCCTTCCCAAAGTTCACTGGTGTTTGGATCGGGAGTTTTAGTTTGGATTTATCTCTGTTCTTTACAGATTGTTCGGTCTCATCTCTTGTCTTTCCAGGTTTCCGTATCTGGAGACAGGTCCTCAGCTGGTGTAAATCAGTGTAGCTCCAATGAAGCTATGCTAGCTTACTCTAGCTGAGGACAGGATGTCAGATATGTGACGAATATGAATTTCACCATCCCAGCCAAAGGGAAAGTGCTCCAGTGAGTAGTGATTTATAGCTGAGGCCAAGGAGGGAGGTAGAGAAAAAAGTGCATGTATTTAGTTCAGGGACATAAGTAAGGAAAGTTGATGGTCCAAAAATGAAAAGCAGGCATTGCCTCCAGTTAGAAGCTTTGGCAGCTCTTGACGGGTCATAAAGCAAAACTGAACAAATAAATGCATGACACTTTCAGATGAGTTACACAAGTAGCTCACGAACACTTCCCTCAGTTTGCGTTTATTTAGCGTATCAAGTCAGGTGTGTGCATTGTCTGACTTCCAGAGTATTATGACCAAACTCCCAATTCTGTAGCTAAGGTAACTCCCAAAATATGAATCTGTGTGTCACATGCTGAAGGGCAGCTGTTGATGACCAGGTTTTCTCTGGCAAATAACAATAGATTTGATGATAAACCTCACGATTAAAGAGTCATAAGTAAGTTCTTACAAGCTGAGCTTTTTGTATTTCCCAGTGTTTGTAAATAAAATGTCTTTCTCTGCTGATTTTTGCTCTTTTCCTTTTTGGTAAACCCTAGTTTTCTCTCCATCCACCTCTTTCTAATGAAACACAAACCAATGTGACAATGGATGCATTACCTTCTTTTTGTCAAGGGATGTTAGGGACAGTAGATAGACCATTCTGGTACAGAGCTAGATAGTTTATTTGTAGGGCCCTACCAAATTCACAGCCATGAAAAACACATCACAGACCGTGTAATCTGGTCTTTTCTGTGCTTTTACTCTATGCTATACAGATTTCACAAGGGAAACCGTTTCTCAAATTGGGAATCCTGACCCAAAAGGGAGTTGCAGGGGGGTTTCCAGGTTATTTTAGGTGGGTCACGGTATTACCACCCTTATTTCTGCGCTGCCTTCACAGCTGGGTGGCTGGAGAGCGGCAGCTATTGGCCGGGTGCCCAGCTTTGAAGGCAGCGCCATGCAGAAGTAAAGGGTGGCAATACCATACCATGCCACCCTTACTTCTGCGCTGCTGTTGGCAGTGGCTCTGCCTCCAGAGCTGGGCTCCCGGCCAGCAGCCACCACTCTCCAGCTGCCCAGCTCTGAAGGCAGCGCCACCGTAGAAGCCGCGCAGAAGTAAGGGTAGCAATACTACAACCTTCCTCCCCCTACAATAACCTTGTGACCCCCCCACAAGAGTCAAAATCTCCCTACAATTACAACATTGTGAAATTTGAGATTTAAATAGCTGAAATCGTGAACTTTCTGATTTTTAAAATCCTATGAAACTGACCCAAATGGACTGTGAACTTGGTAGGGCCCTATTTATTTGGGTTCTCCCCTTCGCAGCAGCAAAATATTTACACTACAAAATATTACATGGTTGTGTCTTAGAGGTGGCTGTTGTTGGTCACTGAAGTATCACAAATGTCCACTTGGATTTTTATTGGCAGCTGCTGTTATAAGACTTTTGCCAGGGTGCTGCTGACAACCAAGGAATGAAAACAGTCATAAAGCAGATAAATCTTTGTCTGCTCTCAGCACAGCTGTCTCCAGCTGTATCTTAATTAGATACAGATGTAAACTATAATATTAGTTGCAACAATGTGGTTCCAACCAACATGAATATAGCAGGCATGTAGTACTCCAATTAACCCACATGTAAGAGACTCTCATGGTATGTCGACAGTGCTATTAAAACCCCACGGCTGGCCCATGCCAATGGACTTGGGGTTGCGGGGCTTGGGCTATAAGGGGATGCTTAATTGCAGCGTTAGATGCTTGGGCTAGAACCTGGGCTCTAGGACTCTGCAAGGTGGGAGGGTCCCAGGGCTTGAGCTGTAGCCTGAGCCGGAACATCTACACCACAGATAAACAGCCCCTTAGCCTGAGCCCTGTGGGCCCGAGTCAGCTGGCATGGGCCAGCTGTGGGTTTCTGGTTGCAGCTTAGACATACCGACAGAGATAATTAACCTTTCGTTTCTGTTCAAACTACGGTGCAAAACACAGTTAACCGCAGAGTCAATCTTTTCCAAATTTAAAAACAAACCAAAGGTTTTGGAATCTGGAATATAATCCCCACCAAATTCGAACAATTTTTAAAGCAGGTCAAATTTGGGGCCCAAACCACTCAACAATGTCCCGTAAATCAAGGAAATTGCATACACTACAGTCTGTGTGGGTGCGGTCACCATCTGTGTGGCCGATTGAAATAGTGACTCTGACAAAGATGCGATTAATCCCAAATATTACAACTGGGAGGTTCACAGATCTGTCTAGAGGGGAAAGAAGGGAAGGGAAGGGGCAGCTTTGTTGATGGGGTGTGTGTGGACATTTTCATTTTCAAGCTGATTGCTAGAGTAAAAATCCCATTTCCCTGAAGACTTTGGCCTGATGGTCCTACATACTTGCTTTTTTTTTATTTTTGGATAAGCAAAGGCTGAGTACAAAAGATGGTGTCAGTTCAGAAGTATCCTTTAAGCCTCCAAATAAGCCACAGGAAAGAGCCAAGGATACAGCAGCTTTTCTGACCACTGGTTGGGAAACGATTAGGCTTCACAAAGCTTCTGACTCAAAGCTCCTAGACAAGCCTATATCCAAACCGTTTAATCCTGTGTTGTCACCCGCAGTAACAAGCAGGTGTGTGCTGTGCTCTGTGGCTCTTTTCATGTCCTTTTCTTTTTTTTTAATCTAAGCGGTGTCAAAACAAGGCTCTGTGCATGACCTGGCTCTCATTCATCCCCAGCTGCTAGGAACGGCAGAAGCGAAGCGGTCAGAGACGGGCGATCTCTCCAGATGAAAAGAAATGGCAGAATCATATTTACGTGTTAAATCTCAGCTGGGATTTTTTTTTTTAAAGCAATTGTCTTTTCAGTCTCGTAAATGGAGAAGTCAGGGAACGGGGATCTGGATAGCACCAGTGCAGCCAGTTGTTAAACAACCCCGTTTTCCCCCTAGCAGTGATTAAGAGAGAATGCTGCTGATTATTATGACTAATGCCTAAAGATTCCTTCTGGGCCTTAGCAGAGCTCTGCTAACTTTTTGGGAGCTGGAGGGGGCTGTCATAGCTTAACCTAGACTTTGCTCTGAATGGAAGAGCACTCTCTTAAAGCATGATTACTCAAAGGGCTTAACACAGCATTTCATCCAGCTTTTTCATCATCTTTTAGTTCCCAGCTCAGTGTCTACTGTAAATACGTGGTGAGTTTTAATTCCCTGTATTTCTTCCCCCTTCCTCACCAATGTGAAGCCAAGAACCACGTTGCTCACACCAAAAGCATCTGTGCAGTCTGCCACGACCAATTTATTATGGCTCTCTTCATCATTTCCCAAGAACATTTAGTTATTTAATATTAAGTATCCGAGGGGTAGCCGTGTTAGTCTGGATCTGTAAAAGGCAACAAAGAGTCCCGTGGCACCTTATAGACTAACAGACGTATTAGAGCATAAGCTTTCGTGGGTGAATACCCACTTCGTCAGACACATGTCAACATTATTTAATGTTGTGACTCTGGTACTATCTGCAAGGTTTTCTCAGCCAAAATGAGTGGATGTGTAGGAGGTGGCATGCCCAATCCTTCACAAAGCTATTCACCCAGACCTGGTAGTTCTTCAGGTCGTGATCGGCACGCTGAGGTGTGACTAGGGTGACCAGATAGCAAGTGTGAAAAATCAGGATGGGGTGGGGGGTAATAGGTGCCTATGTAAGAAAAAGCTCCAAAAATTGGGACTGTCCCTATAAAATCAGGACATCTGGTCACCCTAGGTGTGACAGAAATGCACCTCCATGGGTTAAAGTTCACTATGGGATAAGTCTTTAACCCTGTGCCAAGCTTCAGTAAATGCACTTGTGTCAGGGGGGATCCTGTGGGATGAATCTTTCCCCCGCACCAAACCTACTTTTGCTCACCCGGCACAATGCTTCTCCTCCCCACAACTGCTGCATCGGTGGAGTATGGGGGCTCTATCTACATCAGTGCTTTTACAGGTGCTGTCACTGGTAGAGCTAAACAGTGATATCAGAACAGTGGGAGATTTCCTGAAAATTACCTGTGTAGATGCAGCATTTTATACGTGCACCCACTGACCCACACCCCTCTCTGGGAAATTTCTGGGGCTCAGCTCTCAGCTTCAAAAAGCTGCCCATTTAGATAACCAACTGAATGTCTTTGCAGGAATTCTCCCCTTCATCTTTAAATAAGATAGAAAAGGGCATAGACTAATGCCCAGTGAAAATATGTCTCTCTGAACAGGCTCTGAAGACTGAATGTTTCTCCCTGCTCCACACAAATGCAACCACAGTTCACAAATCAGCCATGAAAGCTAGGGGGATTCTCTAGAGAGGAAAGTGCCTACTGTTCCTTAGGTCAGGATCCAGCAAACAGTTAAGCACTGTGCGTGACTTTAAGTGCGTGAGTGGTCTCATTGACTTCAGTCCCAAGTGCCTAAAGTCATGCATATGTGCATAAGTGCTATACAGAATTGGAGTCTTAATGCAGAAGTTATACATGATGGGAACAGTTGCAGGGAGCCTTCTATTGGCATTAACCATCTTGCTGGGGAAAATGCTATTACTTATAATGCTGCCACCACAGGAGTAGTTCTGTTTGAACAGGGTATATTTCCGCTTGTTCGACTGCATCCTTCTGAAATGTTTTCCTGTTCGTTTTGCAGAGTATTGGCAAGATGTGCCGAGAAGGCGGTAGCCAGACCAGACAAAAGATGTGTAGTTAGGCTCAGGGTCCGATTTCACCCGGGCAGCCTGTTCTAGGGTTTCCTCACATATAGGCTGTATTTTTAAATAATGTTTTCTCTTCTCTGCTACTCTTCAATGTTCCTAGACTTCAATGATTATCTTATTACACACACTGCTGGTTACTACACTGTCATCTTGCTGTCAAATACAAGAGCCTGTACATTGATTCCTTCAGGTGCCATAAGACTTGAAATCTAATCTACTGGAACAAGAATTTATTCTCATTACAAATCTTTGCATACGGCAAGTCCTCTCAGAGCAGAAACAAACCAGCAGAAAAATCCCTGGAAAGCTGGGCACCATCAAACACAATTGGGAGCACTGCCAAGGAAGCCCTGCCTCCTCCCCTGATCAAGGAGCTTTGTTGCAAGGTTCAAAAAATCAAAAAGAAAGAATTGGGAGGAGACAGAGCTGGCTCTAAGATCCAATGAAAGGTGAATACAAAGGATCAGAAACATAGGGCATGTTGTGCACTGAAAGTTCAAGCGCTATCGCAGGCCAGCTGGTCCCAGCAAGAAGCGCACGTGTAACCCGAGTGTCTAGAGGAACCTTGATCAGGCCGGTCAAAGGGTCAGGAGAACTTCAGAAGCAATGGCTGACAATGGGAATGAACACAGGTGACAAAGGAGTCAGTTCTTCTGTGTTGATGACTGCATGGACGGGGGTGGGGGAGGAATCATGATTGCATAGGGGAGAGAACAAGCTTCATCCAGAAGCAGAGAAAGGGAAGTATCCGGGCGGGGGAGGGAGAGAGGAGGAGATGCACGAAATGATGGATTGTTACAAACAGAAACCTTCCTGGGGAATACTAGGTGGGATCAAAGGTGTGAGATGTGGGAGGGAGCTCAGCGGCTCAAACTCCCTACCCATCCCCCTGCAGCCAATATCATTCATATTTGTCTGTGGAGAGAATGCAAAATCAACCTGTGGCTCATTGGAGCCTCACAGCAGTTAGACCATACACACACAGATGCTGTCGGCCCCTTTTGGGTGAGATACAGATAAACCCAACTAAATGAAATGTGTGCCTCACTAGGATAGGAGCATTTTAAATGCAAACGCAACCAGAATAAAACTTTCCCTAAAAATAAAATTGCTTCAGAGAATTTTTTTTTTAAATCAGACCATTCCACAATCCCACATAGAAATCAGACTTTGATGGCAGGATCAGGAGGAAAATGTCCTTGATCAGGAAACCAGAGCTTGGAAACAAGGGTCGGAGGAAAGGATAATGTATTTATGATGTATTTCCACAAGATACCTGTAGATCCTTTTAATGGGCTGGATGGCTCAGCTCACTCTGTAATGTGTAGCCCTAAACAGCTTTCACCATTCATTTGTACTGTATTATATTGGACTTACGTTTGCAGACCTCTGGGGAAGACATAGGTTTTCCCCTATCTCTGTAAAATCCTGGTTTGCACCTTTGACATCGATGTCCCTCCGTGTTGTGTTTGCAGTTGTCACATACTCCACCGCTGTGTTTCCCAGATGCCAGCCAAACACTCAGGTTGAAGTGGCAGCTATCAGCATGGTTGTGACAGCGGCACTCTATTAGGGAGCAGGGAAATGCATTTCTCACTCACGTTTATAAAGCACGGAGCCTACAGTATCACTTGTGTGACAGTTTCATTGCAATGAACTTAGGACCAAATTAATTTATGCCAAACATTTTTCTTTTGCCTGCCTTCCTGGGTTTGTATGGGAAGACTTTGGCAAACCAGTAAAGTGGGTTGAAAGAACCCCGGGTAACAGGTTTACATTAAAAACAGAAATGTCAAAGCAGAATGAGACTCCTAGTAAATCCTAAGAAAGACTGACAGTCAGGTGAAAAAGCCAGTTGTCACGAACTATATACCTTATCTAAGTATCTAAATTAAATTACAGGTGGGCCTGGACCAAAACCCCAGATCTGAACACTGCCTAACTTTGGGAAAGCTAAGATCCAAATCTAGATCTAAACTATGTGGCTTGGACCATCTCTACTTTTAGTGTTGTCCTGTTTATTTCCACCTATAGAACTGAGCCCTTTGGGCCATAACAGATTTATCACTACTACGGCTAGTTGAAAATTTCCTGTCAAAACTGGCTTGGGACAGAAAATTGTGTTTTCAACTACATTTTTTTTTTAAGTGTCTGTTTTTGTCAAAAAAACAAATGCCTGAAAACAGAAATATTTTGGCCCAAACCCCAGAATTTAGATTCATATATGCTGCCGCAGTGCCTTATGAAACTTGTAGTTCAGTTCACTCATATCCCCATTCTCTATGGCTGGGTTCCTCAGCTGGACTTCATCTTCCATGATGCACCATAGCCATACGACTCCCAGGATACACCACTTCTCAACAAGAGGGAAAACCATGAGGCACCATGGAGAGGCAGACCAACCAGGGAGCCATCCTGTAGAAAAGAAAGGGAACATGAGACAACTGAACTACAACTCACATGAGGCACCGTGACAGCATTTTGGAATAAAAATATTTCAATATTTGGTTGAAACATTTTGTTTTTTGGCCAAAATATTTTAGTTTTTGGCTGAAAGATTTCAGATTTTGATTTTTTGCCATATTGTCAAAATTTTCCGCAGAACCTCCCCTGTGTTCTAACCAGCTCTAGGCACTCATAATTTTGCTTTTGCAATGCAAATATAATAACAGAAAGATAAAGACTTTTCAGGATTGTTTCAATGTCCTGCAGTTCTAGCTTGACACATGCAATCTGATCCTATAAAATTAGTATATGTTATAACAAACCTGTAGCCATCATTAGTAAACTTGAAAGTCCACTTTATTTTCCTACATTGATCAACTACGACTCTGTCTGTTCTGCTCCAATTAGAATCTCCCACTTGGAAACCCCGCTGGCTTTTTTCCCATCCAGTTTAGACTGTAAACTGTTTGGAGCAGCAATTCTATACTTCGTGTTTTGTAAAGCACCGTGCACACCTTTAGTGCTGGATGAGAAAAAAAATAGAGATGGACAGATCTGATCCAGAGTTGGACTTCACTCCAAGGTTCTGGGGTGTTTGGATCCAGGGTTTTGGACGAGTCCACCATATAGAAATCAAACCTCCCTAAGCCTCCAAGTGCTCAGAACTGGGGTGTTGTTTCAGGACACTATATAAACAGGCGTCGCCTGTGAAATTTAGATCCAGATCCAAGTTTGGATTCTGATTCTCATCACACAAATGCCCAAGTTTGTTTGGATTGGGGAAGGGGGGCAGGGGGCTGGAGGTTGGTTGAAATAAATTTCTAGTTATTAATAAATACATAATATAATTATATCTCATAATAAATATAGAGTTGGAATCAACTCAAAACATTCCTGAAACCTTGTTCCCATGCACATGCCAAGGACAGAGATCACTGAACCTTACTTTTCCCCCCATTAAACTTATCTCCTTAAGCTTTCTTAGCCTACTACAGCTCTGTAGAGACTCATGCTTGGGAATGGTGAAATGAATGAGGGAATGTTTCTCTTTGAAGAGCAGAATTCTGCCTTGTATGTTCTATATTGCAATAGATCAAATAGACCAGCTACATTAAAAAATACTTTGATTGAAAGGATTTCCTAGCAGTTACCTAGCAATTCATTCCCCATCTGTTGCAAGAGCACCATAAATCCAAACTGGGTGAATTGTCTATTATAGAGCCTTGCCTACTTGGACGGTGATTTATTGCCCTGACACCCTGAATCATTAAGCTCCCCCCTGCCCCCCACTTACTTCTGCATTCATTTGGTGCCCCAGTTTTTCCATCTCCTGGCTTCCAAGGCTGGTCATTGTATAATGGTTCACACCTTTCACAGTGGTTCCCTGCTGTGTTGTGTCTGCACACACACTTCCCATGGACCTGTCAGGGGAAGGAGAATATGTTCAAGCAGCTGAAAAAATTAACAGGACAGAGCACAGCACAGCCTCTGAGTGAGGAGGATTTCTCCTGCACAGTTCCTTCTCACAGCTCCCCAGCACTCTCACAAAGCCTACACCCGTCTAGAATTCCTACACATGCAGCTTTATTGCCTCATGAAGTCTCTAATAATGTGGGTTTGTTCTCTGCCCTCCTGTAATTTTGGGGTCAGATTCTGAATGGGTGATGAGGTGTGCCAGGCATTTAATGCCCCCTGCTGGAATAATAATACCTGGCTCTTATATAGAGCTTTTCACCATAGATCTCAAAGTGCTTTACAAAGGTGGTCAGTCAGTATCCTTATCTTCATTTTACCCATGGGGAAACTAAGGCACATAGCAGGTTGGTGATTTGTCCAAGACCACCAGCAGAACCAAGAAAAGAACCCAGGCCCCCTTGATCCTAGTGTAGTGCTCTAGCTACTAGGTCATGCTGCTTGGGGTGTAGAAGGTAAGGTACAAAAGGGTGGGATGCTTCTTCCAGGAGGGCAGTCCTGAGTGAAGCAGGGACAGGGGAGGAAGGATCTCCCCTGTCTTAATCCAAAAGCATAGCTGGTCAGAGGCCTAACTGACTGCTTATTTTGATTGAACCAGTGAATAGAATCATAGAATATCAGGATTGGAAGGGACCTCAGGA